ACGCAGGCTCACGACGCTCAGTAAGACCTCCAGTCGGACCAGCGTAGGGAGAAGGAGCAGGCAAAGGGGAGGCAGGCTGTAGCTGTGGCTGTGACTGGACAGGCTGCGGACCCTCTAAGGGAGGAGGAGGAGGTGGAAGACCAAGAACCTGCTGCAGGAGCGGAACGAAGTACGGTCGGGGCCGCGCGGCGACGCTAGAAACAGCAGGAACAGCACCAGCAGCCCCGGCAGGTGCACCCACTCCAGCAGCACCTCCAGCAGTACCACCAGAAGCTCCAGAACCTCCAGCCGCAGCACCAGGAGCACTGTCAGTCGGACCGCCAACGGCAGGCTCAGCGCCAACACCCTCAGCAGGACCAGCTCCAGGAGAACTCTCAGACTCAGCAGCTCCAGCACCCACAGTACGAGCACCGGCGGGGCGCGCAGCAGCAGTACCCTCTGCAGCCGAAGAACCACCAGCACCAGCAGCACGCCTCCAGCGCCTGGCAAACCACTCACGCAGCTCCCGTGGGGAGAGTGGCTCCAGGCTAGACGAAGCACCCCCAGGCACAGCACCTCCAGGCTCAGCACCCCTAGACACAGCACCCCCAGGCACAGCACCCCCAGGCTCAGCACCCCCAGGCTCAGCACCCCCAGGCTCAGCACCTCCAGGCTCAGCACCCCCAGGCACAGCACCCCCAGACTCGGCACCTCCAGGCTCAGCACCCCCAGGCACAGCACCTCCAGGCTCAGCACCCCCAGGCTCAGCACCCCCAGACTCGGCACCTCCAGGCTCAGCACCCCCAGACTCCGCACCCCCAGGCTCAGCTCCCGCAGCAGCACCAGAGTCACCATTGACCTCGACAGGCTCGACCGTGTCTACCTGGGACACACCTGAAGGGGCAGGACCCTGAGGGGGGAGGGGGACTACCGGGGGGGGACCTGGTACCAAGAAGAGCGGGGGTGGGGGGAGGGACGGAGTGCGGTAGGGGAAGAGGCGGTAGTAGGGTACCGACTCGTCGAACGTGACATCCTGGGAGGACAGAACACGTCGAGAGGAGGGGTGGTAAAACTGCCACCCAGGGGCGTCGGGGGGGAACCCCAGGAAGACGCAGGGAGAAGCACGAGGGGACAGCTTGTCCGCAGACAGGTCGCGAACAAACGCCCGAGATCCCCAGACCCGGAACGCCGACGCATCGCCAACCTTCCCCGTCCACAGCAGGGCTGGGGAGGTCTCCGGTCGAGAGACCCTGGGGTGGAGGTTGATCTGGTGCGCAGCGTAACTGACCGCAAACGGCCACAGAAAATGGGGAGCAGCCGCATGCATCATGGACGTACGAGCGACGTCCATGACCATGCCAATGCGGCGCTCAGCAATCCCATTCTGCTGTGGTGAGTCCGGAAGCGTGAAGGTCTGACGGATGCCTCGCGCACGACAGTAGGCACTCAGGAGGCCAGAGGAGAACTCTCCGCCTCTGTCCGAGTGCAGACGCAAAACAGGGAAGTCAGAGCCAAAGCTCCTCCGAAGCTGGAGACGAGCTGCGCGGATCCAGTCGATCAACACCTCAGTGACCTCACCCTTGCTGCGCAAGGGGAAGACTGTGGTGTAACGCGAGTAGTCGTCAACCACCAGCAGGAAGTAGCGCTCCTGACCCTGTCCACGGACGCGGGCTGGGCCCCACACGTCCATGTGAAGCGTCTGCAACGGGGCCTCTGTCGGAGGAAACTGGGAGGAGTGAGGGGCAGCACGCTGGCGCCCCTCGACACAGGGGACACAGGTGGGGCCAGGGCCCGGAGGAAGGGGAGGGAGAGACCGGGGAAGACCAGACACAAGGACTCGCGAGGCCATGCCTCTGAGCCGAAGCAGAGAGGGGTGGCCAAGGCGGTGGTGCCAGAGGAGGGTCTCGTGAGACAGACGACGGCACGAGCAGGGGGCAGACTCAGGACCAGACCTGGACGCTGCAGCAAACACCTGACCAGACGAAGGGACCCTACCAGACTCAGCACCTGGAGGAGAAGCAGTGGTCAGTGTGTACAGGCTCGACCCTGGCCGACGTGTAAACGTAGCCAGGTGGCGACCTGTATCCGCCTCCGTGCAGTGGGTCACCCGCTGACGAGCAGGGGTGAACTGGTGGACACCCGCATCCTGGAGGTCAGCACCACTCACCAAGTTCGTCGAGAACGAGGGGAGGTAAAGACCAGTCAGGGTGCCAGAGGGGGCCGCCGGACACGGGAGGACAGTGGAGAAGCGAGACAGGACAGGCCCCCCAGAGGGGTCAGCCAGGGACACCGCAACCGGCCGACTCAGCGGCGTGAGAGTGGTGCGGTCCCTAAAGAAGGAGCGAGACGCTCCAGAGTCAAGGGTGAAGGTGTGAGAGGCCGAAGCCGACACAGTACCTGAGAGGGCAGACTCACCAGCACCTGAGAGCACAGACGCACTGGCACCTAGAGCAGCAGCCTCACTAGTACCTGACGCGGCAGTACCAATGCCCGGGTCGGGCGGGAAACACCGGTAACAGTCATCCTCATCACTACCAATCGCAGCATACATAGCAGAGAGAATATCATCAAAATCAAGATCATAAATAGCTACACCAGCCCTAGACAGCTCTCCCCAGCGGGGGATCTCAGCTGCCTCCGGAAACTGCTGACGCCAGGCGTCAGTCAGGCGGCCAAAGCAGCGGCGGGCTGTGTGGGCGCCTCCACACCTCTCCCCTGCACGGTCACCGGTGCGAAGAACGTAGGGGCAAGGACCAAGCGCACCACCACGCTGACGCTGCGAGTACCACTCACGGAGCTGCTGAGGGGCGGGGACGGTGCGAGAGCGCTGCTGCTGCTGTGGCTGCTGCTGCGGCTGCTGCTGCTGCTGCTGCTGGCGCTGACCACCCCCAGAGCTGCTCCGCTGGGACGAGCCACTCCGACCCCCGCCTCCACCGCCACCCCCGCCTCCACCGCCACCCCCGTCTCCACCTCCACCTCCCCCACCAGGACCGTCGCTCCCACCGCTCCCACCGCCTCCTCCGCTACCACCTCCGCCGCCACCTCCGCCTCCACCGCCGCCACCAGTACCTCCACTCCCGCCACCACCCCCACCGCCACCCCCACTCCCCCCGCCACCCCCACCGCCTCCTCCACCGCCCCCTCTAGCTCCACCCGCTCCCTTGCCCCCCTTGCCCTTGCCAGAGCGGCGTCTGCCGCTGGGGGCAGACGCCGCGCCGACCGACTCAAAACCAGTGAGGTCGGCCGCAGCGGCAGAGGCGACAGAGGGCAGCAGGGGGGAAGGACCACACCCCTCAAAGATGGGGGTGCGAGGGTCACCCCGAGAGGCCCCTACAGCGACAATACTCTTCTCAGCCGCTAGCAGGGACTCCTCAAGGAGATCGACAGTGAGAGTGGTGGGACAGACAGAGAGAAACTGGTCCCTAACGACACGAAGGGACTCAGGGAGACGGGTGACGAGAAAGTAGAGAGTGATGTACATGGGAGGAGGGTTCGCAGCGCGGAACTCAGCAGGAAGGGCAGCGCGGTAGCGGGTGTCACTAGCACGGAGGTGGGTAACGAGGTCAGCGACAGTGGGAAAGGAAGCGAGGTCAGGGAAGAGAAACGGTAGCATGAGGCGGCTAAGGGTAGCGGAGGAAGGGGAGGAGTAGCGTGCAACTACAGCGTCGTACAAGGCCTGAGCGGTCTTGCACTGACTAAAGTGGGCACGCTCAGAGGAAGGGAGGTGGCGACGCACAGCAAGACGTGCAGCAGCATCGCGGGTCGCCCACTTGGAGCGAACGGCAGAGTCAGCATCAGCAGGTGGGGCAGGGACAGCGCCAGAGACAAAGTCAAAGAGAGAGACCTCATCTATCGCATCACACAGTAAGTACAGCTGCAGGTCTTCAATCCAGACGGCAAAGTCAATGGCCCTCCCCTCAGCGTCAAAAGTAAGAACATTGGGGGTGGCCATGGCAGCAGCTGAAAGTCTCACCGGGCTGGGAGAGTCGGGTAGGTCAGCAGCAGAGGAACACAGGTCAGGAACAGCAGCACGGCTCCTCAGGCGGCTCGGGCGGCTCGGGCGGCTCGGGCGGCTCGGGCGGCTCGGGCGGCTCGGGCGGCTCGGAAGGCTCGGGCGGCACGGGCGGCTCGGGCTGCTCGGGCGGCGGCTCGGCCGCAGCTCAGCGGCGGCTCGGGCGGCGGCTCAGGTGGCCCGGGCGGCGGCTCAGGCGGCGGCGGCTCGGCGGCGGCTCGGCTGTTGCTGGGCGGCTCGGCTGATGCTGGGCGGCTCGGCGGGGCCGCGTAGCAGAGGGCGGCGGGGCCGCGTAGCAGAGGGCGGCGGGGCCGCGTAGCAGAGGGCGGCGGGGCCGCGACAGAAGAGGGCGGCGGGGCCGCGTAGCAGAGGGCGGCGGGGCCGCGTAGCAGAGGGCGGCGGGGCCGCGTAGCAGAGGGCGGCGGGGCCGCGATCGAAGGGCGGCGGGGCCGCGTAGTAGAGGGCGGCGGGGCCGCGTAGCAGAGGGCGGCGGGGCCGCGTAGTAGAGGGCGGCGGGGCCGCGTAGCAGAGGGCGGCGGGGCCGCGTAGTAGAGGGCGGTGGGGCCGCAATCGAAGGGCGGCGGGGCCGCGTATCAGAGGGCGGCGGGGCCGCGTGGCAGAGGGCGGCGGGGCCGCGTAGCCGAGGGCGGCGGGGCCGCGATCGAAGGGCGGCGGTGGGGCCGCGTAGCAGAGGGCGGCGGGGCCGCGATCGAAGAGCGGCGGGGCCGCTAGGGAAGGGCGGCGGAGCCGCTAGGGGAAGGGCGGCGCAACGGGCCGCTAGGGGCGACACGACGGGTCGCTAAAAAAAAACGCGCCTCGGGGTGCGGTTCGGTGGGCCCTAGAAGCAGTCCCTAGGAGGGAACCTGCTCTGATTCCATGTGAAAACAAAGAACGAGAATGAATGACTATGAAGTGAAGTGAATACAAATAGGAAACCCTAATGTGTTGTACCCCCTATGGGATACCCCACTATAGCCTACACAAACAGGTAAGCTATATGTTCTGACAGATGTATACCCAATACAAGCTATTAGATTTGGTGGAGGGGAAGGAGAAGATGCCGGAGGCCGCAGAGCTGAAAGGAGCGTGGATGAAGCGATCGTTCGACGCGTACATGCTCATGGTGCAAGCGGTTGGCGGGCGACAACTTGACCACGTCAAAGACCTCTTGGGTGATCCAGAGTGTAGCCCTAAGGCTTGGAGGAAGCTTCTGGATGTGCACTCACCGACACATGCTACCGGCATCTTGCTACTCGCGCGGCGGCTGCGCGACATCAAATTCGTTGATGGAGAGCCGATGCAACCGGTGTTGGATGAGATGCGCGACATCTTCACGAAGCTCCAAGGAGGCGGTGTGGTGTACCCGGAGCTCGTGCAATGCGTGGAGATCGTGATACGGCTGCCGGAGTCATGGTCTGCCCTAGCAATCAACCTCAACTCCCAACAACCCCAATGGAGCGTGGATTATATTCGCGCGCGCATCCTAGAGGAGGACCTCCGGCGGCGGAGTGTGGAGCGCTCGGAGGAGGGGGCTGGCTATGGAGTTGGAGGTGGAAAGAGTGGCTTCAAGAAGAAGTGGAAAGGGCAAGAACAAGGATAACCCTAAGGAGGATGGCAGCGGGGGTCAAGGGGAGGTGTGCTTCTACTACAAGAAGCGCGGACATCGTTGGCGGAAGTGCTACCAACGACCCAAGGATTGGATCTCGCCTTCATCAAGCAACCAGCGTGGTGGCACGAGGAGTGGGGGAGTCATGCGAGCTAGTGGAGAGGAGAAGGATGAGGAGAAAGGTGGCAAATCTGAGGAGCGGAAGGCCGGCTTCTTCTTCTTCATGAACGAAGGCGCAACCAACCACGCAATGGCTGCCAAGGTTCTCCTACACCCCCTCACCCATTGGGTGATTAACTCCGGGAGCTCTTGGCACATGACTCCTCGTGCGGACCTACTTGATGAGATTCAGCCCGCACCGATCTCTACAGTCACATCCGCGACGGGCGCCAAGGCCAAGGTCATGGGCATGGGATGCACCAAGTTCATGGGAGCGGATGGAGAGCTCGTGGGGCTGAAGAACGTGCTGTGGGTGCCGGACTTGTGCGCGAACCTGATTTCTACCGGCCGGTTGGGAGATGCGGGTGTGAACACCGAGACGATTGGCTCGGAGCGCTATCGTGCCTACAACGACGAGCGCCTCATTTGGGACCTGCAGTGGAAGGGAGATGTCCACAAGCGGATGTGGCAGATCCCGGTCCTCCCTTGGCGGAAATCGGGCAAGACGGCAGCGGCGGCATCTATGGAGGAGAGTGTCATCGAGGAGGAGCAACAAGGTGTGCAAGGAGAGGAGCTGATTGGAGGAAGCGCGGCGGTGAAGGCGTCGGCTACCTCGGGCCAAGCGGATTGGGAGACTTGGCATCGGCGGCTCGCACACGTGGCTGTTTCTACATTGGAGGTGATGCACAAAGAGAAGTGCGTGCATGGGCTGCAACTGCAAGGAGATGGCACTCACTATGGCAGCTGCGAGGCGTGCATGCAAAACAAGTTTGCGCGGTTCCCGTTCCCACAAGCGGAGGGATCAGCGAAGGCACCATTGGAGGTGGTGCACATGGACCTAGTGGGTCCTATGAGGACTGAGGGGACTTGGGGAGTGCTGTACTTCCTTACCATGGTGGACGAATGGAGCCGTTTCACGTGGGCGCGTCCCTTGTCCAAGAAGAGCGATGCTGCAGCGGCAATCAAGGAGGATTGGTTGCCGATGGTGGAGCGGCAAACGATGCGGTTGGTGAAGGTGCTGAGGAGCGACCGAGGTGGAGAGTTCCTTGGAGCGGAATTCACCAAGTTCCTCAAGAGAAATGGCATCCGACATCAGTTGACCTGCCCTGGAACACAGCAGCAGAACGGCATTGCTGAGTGTGCCAACCGGACTATTGGCGAGGCGGCTAAGACCTTGTTGGGGGCTGCTGGGATGCCCTACAATTTCTGGCCTGATGCCGTTCGCCATGTCATCACGGTCAAGAACAGGGTCTTGACGCATGTTGGCGACAAGCATTGGGTACCGTACGAGCGTTGGCTTGGGAAGAAGCCATCTATTGACATGCTGCGTGTGTGGGGCTGCATGGGGCTTGTGATGGTGCCTAAGGAGCAGAGGCACAAGCTGGAAGTTGCTGCTGTGTGGGCTGTCCATCTTGGGATGGCTCCTGACTCGAAAGGGTGGCTGATGTGGGACCCCAAGAGCAAGAAGTCGGTGGTCAGCCATGATGTCAAGTTTGTGGAGGACGTCATGTACAAGGACTGGCAGCAGCAACAGCAGCAGGTGTAGATTGGCTTACGTCTGCAGGATATTGAGCGGTCTGCTGTGGAGGAGGTTCAGCTGCACCTTGAGGATCTCCCTGGGTCAGAGCTGACCAGTGACCACGGTGGCGGTGGTGAGCAGCAAGGCGCTGGTCCTGCTGCGGGGGAGGGGTTGGAGGATGAGTCGGCACGTGTGGACTCACCATCTCAGCCCGAGCCTGCTACAAACGCCAAGGTCACTAAGAGGAGTGTGCAGAGAGGAGCTTCACCACATGGGCAGCAGATTGCAACCCGCGAGAAAAGAGTGGCAGCACCACCCTCAAGGCTGAAGTATAGCCGTTTGGGAGGACCCAAGCAAGGTGCCATGGCGGTTCAGGCGGATGAGGGAGAGGATGAGGAGATGGCGTTCTGTTTCTTCAGACCCTTGCCTGCAGAACCAGCCACAGTGGAGGAGGCACTGAGTGGACCCCAAAAGGAGGAGTGGAAGGCTGCCATGGATGCGGAGTTCAACAGTCTCATTGAGAATGGGACTTGGGAGCTTGTTGAGTTACCCGAGGGGCGACGGCCGATCAGCAGCAAGTGGGTCTTCAAGGTGAAGAGTAGAGCTGATGGTGCGTTGGAGCGGTTCAAGAGCCGCTTGGTCGCCAAGGGGTTTCAGCAAAAGGCGAAGGTTGACTTTGGGGAGATCTTCGCTCCCGTTGCTAAGCCAGTGAAATTGAGGACTTTGATGGCTGGCGCAGCTGTGAAGGAATGGCACGTGAAGCGGTATGGTGTCATGGAGCGGTATGGTGTGACTGGGGGTCGCACTGTGATGACACCGTTCCCTGCGGGCTTCAAATTAAAGAAGGCAGCTGAGGAGGATCACGTACTCGAGGATGAGCAGCGAAACGAGTACCAATCACTCATTGGGAGTGTGATGTATGCTGCAGTGCATACACGACCTGATGCTTCATTCGGAGTGGGGCAGCTGGCCAGAGTTGTGCAACGGCCCACTGTGGAGCAGTTGGAGGTGGCAAAGAGCTTGGTGCGCTACCTTGGATCAACAGCATCTGCTGGTGTTCAGTTTTCAGCTGGCGGCCAGCTGAAACAGATTGGAGCAGATGGGGTCACGGCTGGTACCTTGAAGCTGTCGTGCTTCACCGACACCACATGGGCCTCAGAGGATGAGGATCAGTCATCGGTTGGCAGCTTTGTGTGCATGGTCGGAGGTGGACCAAAGAGCTAGAGGTCCAAGAAGCAGAGTGAGATTGCTCAGTCTTCCGGAGAGGCAGAGTACATGGCGATGTACCAAGCCATCAAGGAGATCGTACTCCTGAGAAAGTTGCTGGAGGACATGGGAGCTGAACAGGAGGGACCTACACCACTTTTCTCCGACAGCGAGGCTGCTATTGGCATGGCCAATAATCCTATCCTGAATGGGCTGAACAAGCACATGAAGATTAAGTGGCACTGGATAAGGCAGATGGTGAAGGAGGGAGCTGTTGAGCTTCACCATGTGAAGGCTAGCAAGCAGGCGGCAGAAATTCTCACCAAGAGACTTCCCGAGAGCGCACATTGGAAGTGTGCTAAGATGTGTGGCATGGCATTGCACTAGTGAGAGCAGCAGTGTCATGAATGCATGTGTGATTGTGTGCATGAGACTATGCATCTGTGTGAGTGTGTGTGCATGCAGTCCGTTAGTCTAAAGGGGTGTTTCTTGGATGCACGTCATTCTGAGTGCATGTCATCCTAACGTTCTTCCGAGTGCTCGTGCTATTTGTGCTTGCATGATTTGCATGAGCGTATGTCATTGTGCATGGCTGTTGGATATTATCATCCCTGTGTTTTTTCCAAGTCTAAATGCTTGATCATGCAGGAGAAATCAAGAGCTTTCCAACGACACAAAGATCGCCTTATTCCGACCAAGATCGCCCAAGTTACAAGATTTCCAAGATTTGGATTTCTTATTACCTTTTGGGGTTATATCTAATTTGGGTGATTACTTGGGACATGACTATAAAGGGATCTTTGGTTGGGTGGTTAGGAAGCCAACTTTGACTTTTGGATTGGGGTGGCTAGAAGTTTCTAGCATGGGTTGCAAATGTTGCAACACCTAGGCAAAATCCAACTAGATTGGATTTTGCATGTGACACCTCAAGGACCTCATGATGAGGGTTGCATCCTTGCTGCTAGGAAGGTTCTTACCATCCTTCCCTAGCTCTTGGAGAACCCCTTCCCTCTCATGGTTCTTTTGGAGGTTCCCAACTCCAACTTTCTATGCCTTAATGCTTGTACTTCCTCTACCATACTAGTCATGCGGCTGCTAGACGTTTATACTTGGTTGTCACTCTATAGACCATCTTAACGACTGATTTAATTTGGAGTTGGTAGCTAAGCCTGAGGCGCAACTTCCTACCGAGCGGATTTGCGTTAAGCTGAGTAATGAGTTCGTCGTAAGCTCTCAAAGTGACGGATCCTGAACAACACAAGTCGTGTGCAGGTCATCAGGTACATGAGGCAGCCAACAAGCTCTGAGTACGGGCCACTCGGCTCTATGGACTCATCCGAAGGCAGAGCTGAGAGCGAGTGGCGAGTGGCCTGAGGCGAGGAGTACGTGAAGTCGAAGCGCTGAAGGACCTGCTGCACCATGAGTGACTGAGTCAGGGTAATGGTGTGCTGTGCTCTGTCCCGGGTGATCCGCAAGCCAAGGTAGCTGCGCAGTTCACCCAGGTCTGTGCACGTGTGTCTCTTATGCAGCTCGGACTTCACGTGGGCGAGTCCAGCAGTGTCAGCAGTGGCAAAGACCAAGTCGTCGACGTACACGAGGATGTAGAACGGCGGCAAAGAGGTGTCGGTGCGCAGATGCAGCGACGGGTCAGCTGTAGAAGGAGCAAACCCAAGAGCCGCAAGTGTAATCCTCAGTATGTCGTGCCACTCACGGGGCGCCTGGCGGAGACCGTAGACTGGCCGCCGGAGGCTCCACTGGGTACCAGGAGGAAACGACCCAGTGAAGCCAGGTGGGCGGCGCAGCCAGATCTCTTCGTGCAGGCTGTCCTGCAGGAAAGCTGTGGTGAAGTCAATAGAGTGAAGCTCGTAGTCACGCTGAGCGGCTATGTGCAGCAGCACCCAAAGAGTGGTCATCTTCGGGGTGGGAGAGAAAGTCTGAAAGTAGTCAACTCCCTGCCGGTGATTGAAGCCTCGAGCCACGTAACGAGCCTTGAAGACAGGCGGAGAACCCGGCGGCCGCTTCACCCTGAAAATCCACATGCCACTGACGATGTTCGCGCCAAGTGGGGGAACCTCGTCGACGTAGGTGCCTGTGGACTTCCAAGAAGCCA